GAACCGTATTGGAACCGTATTGGAACCGTATTGGAACCGGAACGTATTGGAACGTATTGAAAAAAAGAACCGTATTGGAACCGGAGCGTATTGGAACGTATTGAAAAAAGAACCGTATTGGAACCGTATTAGATCAAAAAAAGAACCGTATTGGAACCGTATTAGATCAAAAAAAGAACCGTATTGGAACCGTTTTAGATCAAAAAAAGAACCGTATTGGAACCGTATTGGAACCGTATTGGAACCGGAACGTATTGGAACGTATTGAAAAAAAGAACCGTATTGGAACCGGAGCGTATTGGAACGTATTGAAAAAAGAACCGTATTGGAACCGTATTGGAAGCAGATACTAGTAGACAAAACGAGCATTCTATGAACTTCTAAAAACGAAAAAGTTTAAAAAGAGAGATTTAAGTAAATAACCCAAAAGCTGAACTTTCAAAAATCACCAAGAAAAAGCCGAGGTAATAGATGGTTGAGTCAGAAAAAGGAATGGGAGAGCTTAAAATCGGCGCTTTTTCTTCCGATTCTTTTGCCCTAATGCTCCGAGAAATATGGACTTTTTCGAAGAGTTTTTAGATGAATGTTTTCGAAAATAAGCACTCCGAAATGCAACGTTAAGCAAATGTTTAGATAGGGAAAATGAAATGGGCACGTGTATTTTAGATAAGCATATTATATAAGACATTTTATATAAGACAGTTGTTTTTGTTTTTCAGTTGTTTTTTGTTCAATTTTATTATTAGATACATTTTATAACATTTATAACAATATCGTATTGCTTTCTACGGTTCTTTTCGTGTGTATGCGTATGAATTCATCTGCACAATTTCATAAGGAACATTTTAAGACCAACCACAAGTTGATCGGTCAATTGGAAGTTGAAATATGGAGGAGAAGAGAAGAGTCGTGAAACTCCGACTCTCTATCCCCTCTATCTTTGCGCACTTTATTTCATTTCCTGAATAAAGCATTTATATGATGGGGAGGTTTTTGAAAGGAGATATATTGAAATTGAAATTGAATTTGAGTTTTGATTGATTGAAGATTGAAGAGATTGAAAAGCATTGAATTGCATTGATTGATTGAGATTGAAAGATTGGAGATTGGAGATTGAAAAGCAAACAAAAACAACGAGGAACTGAAAACGGAACGGTTCAGAAATAAACGGAAAATTTTGAGCCGCTAGGTTCGGCTAGACTTGGCTAGAATTTGTAGAAAACATAGCAAAAATTGATCGCAAGAGTTTGGCATAGCTATGCATAGTGACGCCCAAAACGGTGAAACTGGCTCAGTCGCTCACCGATCAAATTTGGGTCCGAAATTAGGATCGACCCTCACCAAGGATTTGACTTTGACGATTTCGACTGATGGATTACCGAGTCCAAAAGGGAAGTGAATGATGGGAAGGTTTTTGAAAGGAGATATATATAATTGGGAGATTGAAAAGCAAACAAAAACAACGAGGAACTGAAAACGGAACGGTTCAGAAATAAACGGAAAATTTTGAGCCGCTAGGTTCGGCTAGACTTGGCTAGAATTTGTAGAAAACATAGCAAAAATTGATCGCAAGAGTTTGGGCATACAGACGCTGTGGAAAAACGGTGAAACTGGCTCAGTCGCTCACCGGTCAAATTTAGGTCCGAAATTAGGATCGACCCTCACTTAGGACCTACCCTCACCGAGGATTCGAGTAAAATAACCAATGTATTTGACTTTGACGATTTCGACCGATGGACTACCGATTCCAAAAGGGAAGTCCCTAATGCCAGAGGCGTTTGCCAGATCGCGAGCGATTAGGCCGCCGCACAAAGAGCATAATAAGAGAATAATAACGAATGGATTTGACTTTGACGCTCTAGACTGATGGATGACCGATTCCAAAAGAGAAGTCCCTAATGCCAGAGGCGTTTGCCAGATCGCGAGCGATTAGGCCGCCGCACAAAGAGCACCTAGCCAGCCATTTAAAGAATTTCTCTTTTGCTCTGTAAATGATTCCCAAATGAGGTTGAGTGTTAAAAATTTGTTCCCCGGTATTTTCCGGGTTGTAGAAGCTATTGGCGGTGTTTATTCTAACTATTTGTCCCTAGAAAAGTACCAAGAAAATCGAATTGGCTTTGAATTTTAAATATGATAGCTTTTCACAATAAAAAAACCTATTTTTTTTTCAAAAGACTAAGATTTTTAAGAAAAACCGAACATTTTAAAATCGAAGATTGTAAAATTGATCTGTAAAATGTAAAATTTTCATTGTAAAACACTAAAACAAGATAGATTAAGCTTTTTCTTACGGTTGGCCATAACAAAACTGACAAGAACTTTCTGCTTTTCTTGATAGAGAAGAATTTTATAATATATTTTCAAGAATTTAAGTGTTTTTAGGTGCATTTTTTAGTTTTTTATTAAATCTATTGTTGAGCACACAACACAAAAGAAATTTGAATTTTGGAATGAAAGAAAAAGACAGAGAACTTAGAGCTCTTACAAAACTTGGAAAACAGGAAAATATTGATTGAAAATTCTGAAGACTAGCATGAGCTCAGCTTTAAATTTAGCACAAATTAATTTGAAACATTTGATACAAACGTTCAAGCAGTTTTCAGAGTTGAAATTTCAATTCAAGCAATTCAATTCAAGCAATTCCATTCAAGCAGCTCAATTCAAGCAGCTCAATTCAAGCAATTCAATTCCATCAATTCAATTCAAGCAGCTCAATTCAAGCAGCTCAATTCAAGCAGCTCAATTCAAGCAGCTCAATTCAAGCAGCTCAATTCAAGCAGCTCAATTCAAGCAGCTCAAATCAAGCAGCACAACTCAATCAATTCAATTCAATCAATTCAATTCCATCAATTCAATTCAATCAATTCAAGTTCATAATTGAAATAAAAAGAATAAAAGAGCGAGAATTCATTGAAAAAAGTTGAAAAATGTTGAAAATAAGTCGAAAAAAGTTTCCTTAGATACCACGTGAGAAAAAGCACAAAAAGAGAAAAAAAAATAGAATTTGTACAAAGTGGAAATTTCTCTTTTCCTCCTTTTCCTCTTTCTTTTTCAAACAGAAGTGTCCTCTGGGGCGGCTTTTGGGGGTAATGAGGAACCCTTTATTGGAGGCACACTTGCAGGAAGAGTTGATGTTGTTTGGGAAGAGAGAAGGAATGAACTAAAATGACAACATTTTAAAACTAACGATTTAAAACGATTTTTAGTAAAAGACTATTAAAAGGAAAGATTTTGAAATGTAAAAGTTTCAAAGAAAAGAAAAAAAACAAAACAATTCTCACGATTTATCTAGAGATTGATGGTGAATATTGGGGAGTGCCTAAAAGCTGAGTTTTCGCTATCGTTAAATCGTTGTAAGTTTTCGGTACTCACAAGGGAAAGACAACAATGGGGTTTAGTCATTTTGAAAAAGCCATAGACCATTTTGAATAAGACCATTGGACGCAAAATTTAGCGCTGATTTCGAATCTGTTTTCCCTTTTTGCAAGGGCGCTTTCTATAGAAAGTTATATGTGTTTTAAGTTTTAGAGTTAAAAAGGCGAAAATTTGAAGCCGGATCGGGATGCCTTTAAAAGGGTTCTCTCACGGATCACAAATGTGACCTTATGGCAATGGATTAGACCCAGGCACCCAGGCAATGGACCCAGGCAATGGACCCAGGCACCCAGGCAATGGACCCAGGCACCCAGGCAATGGACCCAGGCACCCAGGCAATGGACCTAGGCACCCAGGCAATGGACCCAGGCAATGGACCCAGGCACCCAGGTAATCGACCCAGGCGCCCCCTTAATGGACCCAGGCACCCAGGCAATGGACCCAAACAATGGACCCAGGCACCCAGGCAATGGACCCAGGCAATGGACCCAGGCACCCAGGCAATGGACCCAGGCAATGGACCCAGGCACCCAGGCAATGGACCCAGGCACCCAGGCAATGGACCCAGGCAATGGACCCAGGCACCCAGGCAATGGACCCAGGCAATGGACCCAGGCACCCAGGCAATGGACCCAGGCAATGGACCCAGGCACCCAGGCAATGGACCTAGGCACCCAGGCAATGGACCCAGGCACCCAGGTAATCGACCCAGGCGCCCCCTTAATGGACCCAGGCACCCAGGCAATGGACCCAGGCAATGGACCCAAACAATGGACCCAGGCACCCAGGCACCCAGGTAATGGACCCAGGATTTCGGGACTTTCAGTCTAACGGCTCGAGCTCCTCGAGGCTAAGTTAGTGTTTTGAGTTTTATGGTGAAAATGCATTGCACACTTTTGCTAATAAATTTAGCGTAAAACCGATCAATTTTGAGAACAAACCGGGAATTTCTCCTCTTTTTCTTCTTCCCGCAACCACAATTTGTGCAAATGATCACACTGGCCACAATGATCAAAATCATCAAAACTAAACGTTTCTTTTCTTTTTTCAAAGTTCTTTCTGTGACAACTCACTAATCGATAATGAGATCAACAGCTTCCATATCATCGAAGATGTGAAATAATTGTTTCCAGCTGAATCGAAGATTTTTAGTAAGTAATGCAAAGGGATTTTCTGACGGGAAAGCCTATGGTCGATTTTCTGACTGTTTTTGAAATATTCGAGCAATAAAAACATTGAAAAAATATGGCTTTCAAGCATTTGTGCTTACATTTCTTTTTTAAAGTACCATGGTTTCCTAATTTGCATTGTTTCTGTACTAGATTTAGCTCTAGTACTAGGTTTAGATCTAGTACTAGATTTAGATCTAGTACTAGGTATAGGTCTGGTACTAGGTTTAGATCTGCTTCCCTAATTTGCATTGTTTCTGCACGATTTACTATTATTATGACTTAGGTTTATCAACAACAACAGGTCTGGTACTAGGTTTAGATCTAGTACTAGGTATAGGTCTAGTACTAGGTTTAGATCTAGTACTAGGTTTGGATCTAGTCCTAGGTTTAGATCTAGTACTAGGTTTAGCTCTAGTACTAGGTTTAGATCTAGTACTAGGTTTGGATCTAGTCCTAGGTTTAGATCTAGTACTAGGTTTAGCTCTAGTACTAGGTTTAGATCTAGTACTAGGTTTAGATCTAGTACTAGGTTTAGATCTAGTACTAGGTTTAGCTCTAGTACTAGGTTTAGATCTAGTACTAGGTTTGGATCTAGTCCTAGGTTTTAGATCTAGTACTAGGTTTAGCTCTAGTACTAGGTTTAGATCTAGTACTAGGTTTAGATCTAGTACTAGGTTTAGATCTAGTACTAGGTTTAGGTCTAGTACTAGGTTTGGCTCTAGTACTAGGTTTAGATCTAGTACTAGGTATAGGTCTAGTACTAGGTATAGGTCTAGTACTAGATTTAGATCTAGTACTAGGTTTGGATCTAGTACTAGGTTTGGATCTAGTCCTAGGTTTAGATCTAGTACTAGGTTTAGATCTAGTACTAGGTTTAGCTCTAGTACTAGGTTTAGATCTGTTTTAAAGCTAGGCTGGGCAAACCCAGATCAAGCCACAAGCCACTGGATTAGACTATTTCTCTGATCATATTTCAGTACTTTTTAATGTTAAATTTGATATTCAATCAATCCCACCTTCATAATAGCACAGAAATCCTTCGCATGGCGCTGGTGGAGGAAAGGGAAAAGCTGGTCCTTGATAAATACTCGTTTCCGGGGATTCTGTGGCCATTTCTGAATTTCAAGGAATATTTAAAGTGTGCAGAGTTGTAGAGCTTTCAAAATCTCTAAAATATTAGATTTTGTCGCCGATAACCTCGTTTAGCAACAGAAAAAGATAGTAAAATTAGAAATATTAGAGATAGATTGATCTGAAAAGAAAGAAAAAGAAAAACTTTTATAATCTCGAAGCTAAATTACATGTTGATTAAAAATTAATGATAGTTCTTTTTCTTAAAGTAAAATTGCTCAATTAATTTCAATTTTAGTGCTTTTAAAGTTGAAAATTTTAAAAGTTAAACTGCTTTTAAGGTCTAAAATAATACTGGATAGGAAAGTAAACAAAAATCTTTTGAAAATCTCGAGAAAGGTTTTGATTTAACTTAAAAATCACTCTTCTTTGCGAGTTTAAATCAAAAAAATAATAATGTTTAGTTGAAAAACAAAAATAATAACGTTAGAACGTTGAACAAAATCAGTTGCCAAGTCCTGGATCTTTGGGTAAAATTGGGTAAGGAGATGGCGAGAGAATGGGTAAAGAGAATGGGTAAGGAGAAGGACATGATCGAGGAGTGGAGCGGCTGTTCTCCCTCTTTCCCATCTCTTGTCCAATTTCTATTGCCTTTCCTGATTTCTATTGAATGCTTTTTCTTTTCTTCTCCTTTCTCTTCTCCTTTCTCTTTTTCCTTTTTCGTTACTTTGTTGGTTTGTAGCCAGCGCTTTCTCATCAATCACTCATAGGCGGGATGGTGAATCGTCTACCCCGTAAAGATTCTAAAAGTTTCTTGATTTCTAGTAAAATTGTATATTCAATATGGTTGTTTATTGATAAATTCAGAATCGATTTTGAACATTTTCTGGATTTTCTGGATTTCTTGGAATTTCTATTAGGTTTGTGAAAAAGTAATCGACGTTTTTTATTTTTATTTTTTTCAAATAAATATATGATATTGATACTTTATTCAGGACATGAAATAAAGCGTAATCAGTCAGACAATACACAAATCTACACATAAATACATAGAGAAAGATGAGATATTTTACTCGGCGATGTGGAGGCGGGGAGAAAAGAAGATAGATAGAAGATAGGCTTCTTGCTTTAATAACCTCAGGCCATGAATGGGCCAACCCAGTGGAAGAGTGAACTCCGCTAGAGAAGGGATCTCTAGTCAGCTCTAGAGAAGACACCTCTAGTCTGGGCGCACGGGCTAGGGAAGAGAACCCTAGGGGGGCCGAACCCAACACCCTCAGTTTGGAAGTGAGAACTTAACCAATACACCATGAGGGCCCCTATCTAAACAATTTTTAATTTTTTTGTTAACGATATATATATCGTTTAAAAGCTTATTTTTTCCTCTTTCGAATGATATATTCAGTTTGTTAAAAGGACGACAATAAACTACTTTCATTTTGGTTTGAAAATGGTATACACAAGTATCGTTATTCGGTCAAATTTGCTTTATGAGTTCAAAAATGGGTTGAAAGCTGCGGAGGCTGCACGTCGAATTCGGAATGCGTTTGGCGAAGACGCCGTTATTGATGATACCGCTAGGTTTTGGTTCCGACGATTCAAAGGTGGTAATGAAACCCTAGAAGATGAACCACGTGGCGGAGACCTGTTCTGATGACCAAATAGACGCTGTCTTCTCGAAAACCCTCGTTCAACCTCTTCAGAAATAGACCTTACATTAAATTGTGATGGGTCAACCGTAAGGAAACGCTTGAATGCCATGAATTTTATCAAAAAGTTGGACAAATGAATACCGCATGAACGATGGCACGCGACCACATGTCTCTTTACAGACTCGACAAAAATCCAGACTGTTGGATGGGAGGTTTTACCACATCCACCTTATAGTCCACCCCTTTCTCCATCTGATTATTATTTATTTTTGTCTCTGTCTAACTTTTTGGCCAATAAACGGTTCAATTCCAAAGAAGATGTCAAAACCGAGGTTGATTTTTTTCTTCGCCTCTAAGGACCAAGATTTTTATTATCGTGGAATGTCTTTACTTGTAGAACGTTGGCAAAAGGTTTTTCTTTAGAATGGTGATTACTTCGTGGAATAAAAATTATTTTAACGAAACTTATGGTCTTTTATATTTAAACGTTAAAAACGTGGATTACTTTTTCACACACCTAATAGAACTTGGATTTTCCAACTGAACCCTAGAAGACTTTTACAAGATGAATAAGTCAAATTTATTGTAAAATATATTCGATTTGCGCCCTGATTTTGGGAGTTTAATGATTCTTGACCGAGATCATCCGAGTTGGGAAGGATATATTGGTGATTTATGCCTAGAATGGGAGTTGATGAGCGTCGGCTTATATACGAGCGTCGGCTTATATAAGAGCGTCGACTTATATAAGAGCATCGGCTTGTATACGAGCGTCGGCTTATATACGAGCGTCGGCTTATATAAGAGTGCCGCCTTATATACGAGCGTCGACTTATATAAGAGCATCGGCTTATATACGAGCGTCGGCTTATATACGAGCGTCGGCTTATATAAGAGTGCCGCCTTATATAAGAGCGTCGACTTATATAAGAGCGTCGACTTATATAAGAGCATCGGCTTATATACGAGCGTCGGCTTATATACGAGCGTCGGCTTATATACGAGCGTCGGCTTATACAGGGTGGCTGACAATTACGTGCGCGCAGCATCAGCATCATAGTTTTAAACAATGTATAAAGCATTACTACTCATCTTTTTGTGTTTTAATTATTCTTTTATCGTGGTCTAATAATTTTTTGTTAAAAAAGTTGTTTTCTAGGTCATGACAAAGACGTGCGCTAGTCGGGACGCAATCGCACAGCTGGCGACGAGCGGCATGAAGAACTCGTCGATCGCATCGAGGCTTGGGGTGGCTCTGAGGACCGTCCAGAAGATCGTAAAGCAATGGAAAGATGAGGGGCATGTTCAGTCCAAGCCCGGAAGAGGACCAAAGAGGACCGTTAACACCCGAAAGATGCGTGGGATCATCAAGAGGAGGATCGAGCAAAAAGACGATCGTAGTTTGAACAAGATGGCAAAACAGCTTCAAATTTCGCGTTTCTCGGTTCAATCGATAGTGAAAAATGAGCTCGGACTTCGAAGTTATCGACTGTTAAACGGGCAAGTGCTCACCGATCAAGCCAAGCAAAACCGGAAGGAGAAATGCAAGAAATTGCGAGCTTTTTTCAAGGTGCGGCGCATTGACGATGTTCTTTGGTCAGATGAGAAGATTTTCACCTTGGAAGTGGCTAAAAACTCACAAAATCACCGTCAACTTCTCAGTCCAGCTCTCAAGAGCACTCGTAAACGAAAAGTCGCTACAAAAGGTCTGTTTCCAAAAAGTTTGATGGTTTGGGGTGGCATCAGTGCTTCGGGCAAGACCCCGTTGGTTTTATCGATAAAAATGTGAAGATTAACGCAAAAGTCTATCAAAAAGAGATTCTCGAGAAAGCTGTGGTGCCATGGAAGAGGAGCCATCCCAATTTGACCCTTCAACAAGATTGGGCGCCGGCCCACGGAGCCAAAACAACAATTCGCTTTCTCGAAACCAAAATTGGCTCTTTTTTGACGAAGGATCAATGGCCTGCAAACAGCCCGGATCTCAATCCGTTGGACTTTTCGGTTTGGGGTTTTATGGAAGAACAATTGAGAAATAGAAAAATCACCAATTTGAATGATTTACGTCGAGAATTGATCAAAATCTGGAACGACTTAGATGCAAATTATCTCCGCCGCACCGTCGATTCTGTAAAGAAGCGAATTGAAGCCTGTATCAAAGCGGATGGAGGCCACTTCGAAAATTTCTTGTGATTATTAAATGCTTTTGTTACAACTATTATATAAATAAAGATTTTTACATTTTCTTTGAAAGAAAATTAAATTATGGCGTTTTCTTTGGCGCACGTAATTATCAGCCACC